AGGACGTGAGCCTGCACTTCGTGCTGTGGGGGTGCCTGCACGTGTACCAGCGCATGATCGACAAGGCGGAGGACGTGTGCCTGTTCCTGACGCAGCCCGGCGAGCTGGTGGGGCAGCTGGCCGTGCTCACCGGGGAGCCCCTCATCTTCACCATCAAGGCCAACCGCGACTGCACCTTCCTCAAGATCTCCAAGTCCGACTTCTACGAGTGAGGAAGGGGCCACGGGCCACGGGGGGGGTGGATCTGGGGGGTCCTGGGTGGCTCTGAGGGGTCCTGGGTGGTTCTGGGGGGTCCTGGGTGGCTCTGAGGGGTCCCAGGTGGCTCTGAGGGGTCCCGGGTGGCTCTGAGGGATCCCAGATGGCTCTGGGGGGTCCTGGGTGGCTCTGAGGGGTCCCAGGTGGCTCTGAGGGGTCCTGGCACCTTCCTTAAGATCTCCAAGTCCAACTTCTACAGCTGAGAAAGGGCCACAGGGGGTGATGCCCAACAGGGACAGTGGGGGTCTGGGGGACATCAGGCAAAGATCTTCGGGACTCCTGTGGTGGCACCTTCAGAGCCACTGCAGTGGCATTTTTGAGATTGCTGTGGTGGCACCTTCAGGGCCACCGCAGTGGCATCTTTGGGGCCGTGGCAGTGGCACCTTGGGAGTTGCTGTGGTGGCATCTTTAGGGCCACTGCAGTGACATCTGTGGGGTTGCTGTGGTGGGATTTTCGAGGCCACCACAGCGGCCCCTTCGTGGCTGTTGCGGTGGCACCTTCATGGCCGTTGCGGTGGCACCTTGGGGGGGCCACCACGGACCCATTTCTGCCGTGTGTGTCCCCCCCACCCCCCTACCCCCCACCCCCAGGATCATGCGGGAGCAGCCCAGCGTGGTGCTGAACGTGGCGCACACGGTGGCCGCCCGCATGTCCCCCTTCGTGCGCCAGATGGACTTCGCCATCGACTGGATGGCGGTGGAGGCCGGGCGGGCGCTCTACAGGTGGGTGACACCGCGGGAAAATCCACCCCCCTTTCCCACTCAGACCTCCAGGGGGTCCCACTGGTGATGTCCCCCCCCTCTCCCACCCAGGCAGGGGGACAAATCTGACTGCACCTACATCGTCCTCAACGGGCGGCTCCGCTCGGTCATCCAGAAGGGCAGCGGCAAGAAGGAGCTGGTGGGGGAGTACGGCCGAGGGGACCTCGTGGGCGTGGTGAGCTCTGGGCTTGGGGACAACCTCTGGGCCTCG